TACAGCTCTCACTCCTGAGGATAAGGATCTCGCCCTGCAGATGCCTTTATTGGCTAGTCAACTTCCCACCTCCTCGCCAACGGATGATGAAGACTCTGATCGTGATGGTGACGAACATTATCGTCTTTCTCTTGTTTAAATGCTTCTAGAATGGTTGTTTCTCTGTGGTGTTTTGTATTAGGCTTGTTATTAATTGTTTCCCTCACCCACTTCCTCTTGAAGGATATATCTGGTTGAACTGTGTCTGGTCGGGTTGTGAGGGTTAAGCGATGTTCTCAGGGTCTCCGGACTTAAGCCTGAGCGAATGTGTACTCCCACCACTGGATATAAATTGTTTTTTTTTCCACACCCCTTCCTCACGTTTTACCATATTCACTTTTGAATGTCCTTAGCAGTTACCGTTCTGGGTTTATTTTACTGTTGATTTATTCTTTCACATTTTCACGTTTATATCTCTCATTATTATAGTATACTCTGTACTCTCCACATTTTTATCATTACTTATGCTTTTTGGTTGCTGGGTTACATGAACTGTTAATTTTGTGTCACTACCCTGGTTGCACTGACTCGTTGTATCCTTGTGTGCAGGACAGCTGTTACTGCTTTCGTCTGGAACCGAGACTGCTTGCAGCCGACCCCTGGGCAGGGTGGTGCCTGGACTCTTTTCTCCTCATCTGCAATGACAGATAAAGACAAATGATAAGACCCGAGGAGTTTTTCGAGCCAGGCTTCGACACGTCTCTGTGTTCCTTTGAATGTTACTTATTTTTGTGTGTTGACCCATTTTAAGATGGGTCAAAAGGGGGATTTGAAGAAAATATAATCTGATTAAACATTATTCAGCTTTAAACATTGTTCAGCTTTAAAGTTACTGTGCAACTAATAAAAATGTGCTCACGACTTTGGCCTTGAGAGCGATAAGAAGCGATCGCCTCATCCTGCAGGTGCAAGATATCTGCAAGCGAAGAGGCTAGAACACCCAAGGCCGATTTCCTTTTATGGAGTTGTTTTTCTGCTAGTGCAGCACTTTCCTCACTCCCTCCTGTAAGTTTTAGAGAATATATACCCATCCTCACAGCAAATCTTCGGAATCTCCTGATGTGAGCTGTGTTGAGAGGTTGTCTCTGTCTCAATAAAAGTTCACTGATTCCCCATCCTGCAGGTGTCGTGTTGTCTTCATTCTCCGCCAGCCTGGTTAAGTCAATTCCTCCTTAACATCTAAAAGAACCTATTTAATGAAGGAAGACGGGTTCACTTTGTGTTTAATATTATTCTATTGCTTGTGTTGTTTTTTTTTATATCCTTCAGCACTTGTGCTGTACGTAACAAGTCACGTGACGTGACGCTGGGGCTGTGATTGGTTCGGCTCTGCGCTACGTAATTTGGATTGGCTTACGTTTTTTTTTTTTTTTTTTTTTTAAGAGGACAAGAGCGGCGAGGTCTATCGCGATAGTTTAATTTTTCTATCGAGAAAAAGTTATATCGCGATACATATCGTTATCGTTCTACCGCCCAGCTCTATGTTGAACTCATCCGGTCCGCAGACTTTACCACTAGGGAAAGAAAGGATAGCAGCTTTGACTTCTGTGATGCTGAAATCAGCATCAAGCACTTGGGTGGCAGATTCTGTAAGGGTTGGAATACTCAAGAGAGTTAAGAAAGCTAAAAAGCTCAGAGTGAGTGGCGTTCGATTTAGAAGAATACAGTGTGCTGAAAAACTCAACAAATCTGTCATTAATCAGCTTAGGATCAGTAATTAATTCAGAGGAGGCAATTATGTGTATGGTGCGATGGGCTTGCACATCTTTTAATTGTCTGGCAAATAATTTATGGGGTTTATCTCCCAACTCAAAGTGTCTTTGTTTCAATTTAATAACGTCGCTACCGACTTGGGTTCCCAAAATATGATTGTATTCGAGTTTTAGTTTCAGAATAGCATTAGATATGTCCTCAGTATCAGATTGGCGAAGTGCCTCCTCTAATGTTGACAATTCAGACTCAATATGGGACAGACGATTTAATGTAGTTCTTTTCGAAAATGTTTGAAAGCAAATGATATTGCCACGCAATGCTGCCTTAAAAGATTCCCAAAGAGTGGAATCAGAGACCTCACCATTGTCGTTATGTTTTAAGAAATCTGAAATCTCAGTGGAAACATAAGTGGAGAAAGTTTTGTCTGACAGAAGGGTAGAATTGAATTTCCAATTAAAAATTCGAGGCTGTAAATTAAAATCTATTTTCATGGTAAGTGGGGCATGGTCAGAAATCAAGATTTGATGATTAGCAGAGCTGACAATACTGGGTAGTAGTCTAGAATCTGTAACAAAGTAATCTATTCTGGTAAAGCTATGACATACAGATAAAAAAAAGGAATATTGCCTGTCATTTGGATGCTGAAGCCTCCAAACGTCTACCATGTTGTGTGATTTTACCAGATTGTTCAAAACTGCCGTGGATCTAGTAGTGGGGGCTATTTTTGTAGATGATCTATCCAAAACAGGATCAAAATAGCAGTTAAAATCGCCACCAATTATTATACTAGACATATTATATTCAGAAATTAGATCAAATATTTTGGAAAAGAAGTCAGGACAGTCAAAATTAGGGGCATAGATATTTAGCAAGACCAGTGGAAAAGAGTTAATGGACCCAGAGATCAAAACAAATCTCCCACCCGGATCAGTAACGACGGATCCAAATATAAATGGAGTGGTTTTCCGTATGAGTATAGCAACACCTCTGGCCTTAGATGTGAAAGTGGACTGGTAAACCTGCGACACCCAATTTGCTCTTAAACGTCTCTGTTCATTGGAGTGAATATGAGTTTCCTGAAGAAAAATGATATCAGAAGATAAATGCTTCAAATGTGACATAACCTTCCCACGTTTCAAAGCTCTGCCTAAGCCCTTGCAATTCCAGGATGTAAACGTCAAAGGACATGTTCCTAAACCAGTAGCATTGTTACCCCGCATCTAAATGAGACGTGGTATGACATATGGACTGGTGAAAAATAGTACAAAGGACTGGCATAAAAAAGGTTAAAACAAAATTAACAACAAGAACACTGAACCCCACCCCCCAAAAAGAAAAAGGCCGCAAAAAAGAACAAGAACTACTGCAGCCCATCCCAGCGTGCATTAAGGGGACTGCCGGGAAGAGGAGCGCAAAACCTTCATAAACATATAAAATGACTTGTGTATAACCAAAGTTATAATATAAACGTTCTCAGTACTTCACGATAGAGAAAAGTTTTAAGACGTCGTAGCAAAAAAACAAAACAATGATAGAAATCAGATCACCACAGAAGCATTCAAAAAATGATTGAACGAATCGCGACTCTCACTAACAGTTCCAGGTGCTGGACTGTTTGAAGGCCCCACTTTGGATCACGTGAAGGACATTCAGTTTTTTGTTGCAAACTGTTTACAGGAAACGCACTATTGTCACACCACAGTGAGCCAGTTGCATGAACAGCAGCCTAATCAGATTTCTGTAGAGTCTCAGTTTTTTTGGAGTCTGCTTCTTGCGTCCAACAGGAAGAATTCTGTCCATAAACAAAGGATTTTAAAATGTACCATTTCTTTTTTTTCTTTTTACTTTTGTAAAGTAACCTAAAATTATTATTGCCTCAAAGGGATTTATACTCTGAGCTATGGTTTTTTTTTTTTTTGTATTTTAAATGTTGTTCTAAGCGGCCAACGAATTGTTAATGCATGATTAAAGTGAATTGGACTGGAAGGAGGCGTTGTTGGTAAATCTGCTAACTTTGTGGTGGAGGCTGTTGGACACAATGTTGGTACAAGGGGGGTCCTGAAAGCATGTACTGATTAGCTCCAGTTTCTTCTCTGAAGTTGCTCTGTTTCTCTTCAGATGTCTCTCAGACCAAGATTGAATGTGATGACAAGGGTGATGGATGGTGTGACATGTGCTGCTGGCCCACAGAACCAGGTGAGTATGCTGTCCATGTGCTCTGCAACAATGAGGACATCCAACACTCTCAGTTAAGATTAGTTTTCATGATTGTTGCTTCAAGGCCTGAGATCATGGTGGTGGGCTTGTGATGGACACACTTTTCATGGCTGAAGCCTCTCCTGTAGAGGCTAAGCCTAGGCTTGAAGCCACTGGGGTGTTCGTTGGCGACGCGATGTCACTGGTATGCATGAAGTTATTAAACTTGATACAGTCCAATAACTTCAGCCTTACTCATCTTGTCGCTAATTACGTGTGTCTACCTTAAATATCTTCACAAACTCAAAATGTGACCTCTAGCACCAAACGCTTGCTGCAGTTCTTGGTGTCAGAGGTGACACACAAGGTATCAGGTTTTCGCTGCAATTACTTTTTCATATAGGACCAAGTATGTTTGGATAGCGTTTTGCCCTTGAAAACTGCCGTTTAATATTAGACATTCTGTTATGTGAACGGCTGTGTGCAGGCAGGAAAAGGACCCAAAGGCAACAAAACTAGGAATACAAAATACTAGTGATGGCCCGCTTGAAGCTGAAGCTCCGGTGCGTGTGTCAAAAAAATCAACACACTGCTTCAGAAGCACTGTGTCGAA